TCCGCACCTAACCCCGCACCCAGGTCAGCACCACATCTCGCACCATGATTTCAACCCCTTCGCACTCCGCACCTAACCCCGCACCCACATCCTGCACCCAATTTCCAGGCCCCACATACCCGGATACCATTTTCACGTGTTAAGCGTACCACGGGCTTACCAAGTTATGGAGTGAATTCGACAGCGCACTGGAACTGCTGTCAGGCATGGGACGTACGCTGACTTTGTTCGCCCGTCGCCTAAGCTACTGGCTGGCATTCGTAATTAATATCCACGTTTACTTTGCATAGGACAGGATAGGCTTCGACCCATACCAAACCCCAACTCCCCTAGACAACTATAGCTCCCGTTTTCATCTAGTTAACCGCCCTTTGCAGCTGCACCATATAAAGGGGCACCCCCAAGCGACTCAAAGGTTGCTGACTGCATTCTGTTCCCTCTCCTGCCCTCTACGGGTCACATTCTTTCTTGCGTTCCTTTCACTCTTATTCGCCGCAGGAAAACAACGGGCTAATACAGAAAGCTGAGAGACGCACATCTCGCTTTCCTGGCGGGTTTCCTGTCACATCGCTTCTTGCAGTCTCTTCCACTCATATTAGCCACAAGAAAACAGAGCCTGAACAAGCTCCAACCACATTCACGTCCCGTTGCCCCCCCCCTTTCCTGCCCTCCGCGGTCTCCCACCCCTTGTCGAAAGACTGTCCAAATAGCCTCCTGATCCCCTCATGATGCTAATGATGCACAATTTGGCGTCAATTACATCACTCGCATCACAACACCCCAAAAACCATACATGTTCATTGCTTTTTGGACCGCCTCTTTTCTTCACTCTCCCCCACCAGGATCTGGGTTTGCCCTACCCTGCCGGACCGGTATACTCACTTCGTTTGTCCCTCGACAACTCCAGCCTAGGCCTATCGGCTGGCTTTCGTGATACAGTAAATATACAACGTCCAGTTTGGAGTGCACAGCGATGCTCAAGTCTTGGTTTTTAGCCAGGGTAGCCTACAATAACACTGCAAGTCGAGTACTGCGTGGAGGTTGAAATAGGGTAGAAACAAGTCCAAACCTGGGGCGACTGGACTGAGAACATCCACCTCGAACAGACTCGTGCAGTAGTAACAAGCGCATCGCTACTAGTCTCCGGGGTATTGTGAATGAGAGACTCGACGTCTCCAAACCGAATGAACGCTGCAGTACTGAGCGGGACAGCCAAACCATGTTCCTGTGCACCCTCTCACACTGGGACGGTCTGACCGTGCAACTGGTCTGTGAAAATTTTCACAAGGGCGGGGAGAGAACAAAGCAGCACGAATCAAAGCTGCAAACAAGGTTCTGAAAAGCTTCATCACATCGTCATTCAGAGTAGGCATCCCAAACATGCGAAACCGCAGGACGCAAACATTCGGAAAGGCCAAGACAGTGAATAGCGTTTGAAACCTCAGGCGATTTGCATGAGTTCATGGGCCCACCTGTTAGATCAACTCGTGCACCGTTAACAAACCAGGAACTGTACTCGTGTTGCTGGAAGCTGGGAGGCTGCTGGTGAGAAAACTGTGCGCAGCTTCCAAGTGCCGAAGCAAACTTGTTCATCTGAGCCGCTCGTCATAGCTCAGCTTGTTCTGGCTAATGTCCAGGTCGCTGATTGTGAGAACTGTGCTGGATTCATTAACGTTCCTGCGAATATGGAAGCTCTGAGTCTCTGAACTCAAAGGTAACCATGGATGGCCACCAGTGACTAGGTCTACTTTCCTTTTCTTGCTCATGTCTTTTCTTTTGTTTCCTGTTGTTTGTCCTTCTTCTCTTTGGATCTTCAGACCTTTCTGCATGTTTTGTTGTTCCGTATCGTCTTGCAAGCAAGATGCTCAAATCGAGTCTGAAGCTCCTCAGATGGCTGCACTTGCCATTGAGCAAGAAGTCTCCACAATACATGTAGCACTCACTATAGCTTATTCATGCGTATTAGCTTGCACTGGCCTGCCTGCAACTCAGAAAATATAGTCATATAATAGTCCTTCACTAGCCAACTTGTTCCCACCTGACCTCCCCCACCGCTTTGGCGAGCTGCTTGAATGAGCTCATCAAAGCGAGAGCTATCTCCTTCGAGAAGACGTCTCCTCAGCCATACTGAGTCCGAATGCAGGCCAACTTGATACACCCAAGCGTCACAGAATCTTGGTAGAGTCTTAACACCCAACAGAAAGGTCTTGAAAGCGGCCAAAATTATGCACTTGATCATAATATGAAAACTTGCCAGCTGCGTCTTGTGTTCTCGGAAGACTCTGTCAAATGATCACATGCTTCACATGCTAGAAACCAAGCTAGCTGGAATTAAGGGGTCCAAAAACTTCATGACTCATCAGCTTTGTGATATAATGGACAATAATGCAGATTGTTGAAGCCTTCTCATGAACGAAGATTGATAAACACAATAACTATACGGTAAACATATTGTAATGTACAATACAAGTGTTCAAACCCACCCTCTCTCGAACCCTTTTCTCACACTGGCACGGGCTCTGCAGCCTGCACCGGAGCGATGGCTGTTGCATTCCAGACTTCGGCCAGTCCAATCCATTCTGCAAGTTCCCCACATGTTCCGAACATGAAGATTTCAGGTATGGCGGCGCACACTGAGGAATCGCAGCGATTCGCAGCTTTTCTGGTTGGCTGGCATGCTGCCAACAAAACCGCTGAAAGGACTTGCTTTACCTTTCAGGCCTCTCATGGGTGAGACTAAACTTACAAAGCTCTGTTGGCAATGCATTGAGCCAGTGAGCAAGTGCTTTCGGGTAGTTGTGGAAAAAGTGGAAGAGGCAAGTCCCCCGAGCTCACGAAGTGTTCAAGTGAGTCTTGAAGGATTGCTGCGAGAAAGCTGAGCAGAAGCTGGGCGGGTCCGAAGTTCGGATCTCCGCAGCGCAGATTCTGAAGCTTCTAGAGGTGACACCGGCGAAAAAAATCCACCGGCATTCAGGCCAATTCGGCCTCTGTGACTCGGCAAATGCCGTGCTCCACATGCACCCTCCCCCTGCCCATGCCGACCATGTCGCCAAGGTTCACCTGTGCTGTTCCGGTTGTCCCTGCAGGCCTGTTCTGCCTTCCTTCGTCGTTCTCGACCGTCTCGAGCTAAGACCGCTTCCAAAGCTGCGGCTTCCAATGCATCAGCTTCCAGTTTGGCACCCAACTCTTTGAATTTCACCTCTTTCGGCCCCAGTTGACGTTCTAGTTGCTCGATGTTTTGTTTTGCACCAATCTCCACAAAGCTCCTTGGCATCAAGAAATTCACGCCCCAGGGTGAACGGCCTGGTGTTGTCCTGCCACTGCCTCTGCTGCCTGTGGTGCCTGTGGTTCGGGCAGTGGCGGCCGTGCCTGTGGTGGTCGCGGAAGACGGCCGTGTGGAGCGCTTGGCTGACGAGGGCCGGGACGGCACAGGTGTCCGCGGGGCAAACTCCACCAGCGGCGACTCCTTCCCGGAACGTGCCGCAGCAGCATGAGCAGCAATAGCCCGGTCGCGGGCCGTGAGATTCACGACCATAGCACTCTTCTTGACATGAAGCGGGAAAGCTTCTTTCTGGATTAAAGATGAGTTAGTTGCACTGACCAATTGCTAATGATGAATCGCATGCCCAGAAAACCTGCTTAGCTGAGCTACTGCTTCCTTGATTGACATTGCCATACAGTTTGCTAATGGTCTTCACACTGTCCGTTCTTGGCTGGGTGACTGCACATAGAAACATGTCGATTGAACTGAAGGGCTAATGGAGTAAGTCACTTAAGCATCTTGATCGGTATGAGACAGCCACTCGAACTGCTGCTTTCCGTCACGTGCCTTGCATAGTGCTTCTCAGCAACCACTAGGTGGTCGCCTCCACTTGTTGCGATCTCAAAGCTTTGTTAACAAACATGGATGGTTCTTCGCCGCTAAGTCCGTGGCCACACTTTGACTACACCATCGGCAGAAGCACTGACCTTGAAGCACAGCTTTCTCAGATACTGATACAGTGTGATATAGCAAAACATTTAGCGGGGGAACACAGGAAGCATGCATTTCAGGAAGGCAAAGTTTGTAAACTCTGGCTGGCTGCAAAGAATGTGTTTCCTGTAAAAAAGGGGTGCACGCATGGTGTCCACCACTTCATGTGCTTTCCGCACTACCCTCAAATCCTTTTCTGAAGAAAAACTGCAAGAAGCTGCCTTCTGGGTGGCAATCTTGATAGCAACTTTTAAGTGTGTGTGCCCTGCAAGCCGCTAGACATGCCAAAAAGTAGATGTCGTGACCGGCTGGCCACTTTTTCATGAGAAGAAAAAGAAAAACAATGAAAAACAAGCCCCTCACAGCCATGCAGGTGACCAAGGTTTCTTCGTAGAAGGCCACGCAAAGCACGGCTGCAGCATGGCCTTGCTGCCCGCCTTGCCCACCGCTCAATGGAGTGGCTTCAACCAACTCCCAAAAGTGCAGGCAACCATCCTCGATGGAGAGACCCGGCAATTTGTATGTCATCACTTGCCAATTACACCAAGCTCGTTGCAACTTCCCTTCCTTCGGGATGACCAATTGACTAACACTCCCTGCTTGAAGGCCCGTTTAAAGTGTTCCCCGTTAAAGAACGTTCAACTGCAAGGCCCTGCAGGATTGATCAAGTCCAAGCACCTCTGTTGCCCTGTGTGCACCATTTAGTGTATATTATGTAGATATTTATCTATGCAAATGAAAATCCGCCGACCCCACACCGTGGGGTGAGGCGTGACTGTCGATGTTAGCCTTAGCCTTAAGCCTTAGCCTTAGCCTTAGTCCTTAGCCTTAGACCTAGACCTTACCTCCCCTACCCCTCCGGACCCTTGTTGCAGTTACGAAAATCGCGCCCTGAAAGCTACCTGAGCGACCCGGGAATTGTCCAAGAATCTGCCATCCCAATTGATTTACATCTTGGGGCACCCTCTCGACCCGCGCGGGAAAATAAGCACGGTCCAAAATGGTCCTGGGCTCGAATCCCGGGCTGGTCGCGGCATGGTCCCGGCCAATGCCCTTGCTTTTTCGTAGATTTTGTCACGTTTTCTGTTGGCTTATGAGATTTTCAAAGGCGTTTCTGGCATTTTCCTAGGAATGCTCTAGGCTTTGTCTTTTGGGGTACCTGCTTTGGTGGTGCTGGGTTTGGTCTAAATTGGTAAACCTGGGAGGTACCCAAAAAGTCGACTTTTTGGGTACCTGCTTTGGTGGTGAAGGGTTGGGTCTAAATTCTTGGGCAATGATCGGGGTTCATGCAAGAGCTGCCGTCCGATGGTAAATCTGGGAGGTACCCAAAAAGTCGACTTTTTGGGTACCTGCTTTGGTGGTGCTGGGTTGGGTCTGCACTCTTAAGGCTAAGGCTAAGGCTTAAGGCTAACATAGAGCAAGGCTAGCGCTAAGGTTCTATCCCTTGGGGGTCGGCGGCTGCAGGCGGTAGCCTGGTAAATACAAACGTTAGATTTCATCTTGTATGCAAAATGTTGCACGCAGCTCCTCAGAACCACTCACCACGAAGGAGTCTGTTGGATCTAAAGTGCTTCTCACTTTCACTCGCCTTGGATGTCAAACCCCTCACTCTGAAAATGTCCGCAATTCGGTGCTTGAAAACGACGCATGTTGTTCCAACCCTCCCGCTGGACGCATGCCAGTGACTTGTTCGTATGTCCAAAGTACGATGTGAGCTCAGAGCCGTCCGAATGCTCCAACAAACGAATCTGGTTGTCCTCTCATGTGATGTTGCAGGAAGGCGCATGGATTTCTACTGGCTGAGGAAAAAGCAAAAGGTGTTCACAGAGCGTCGAAACTATTTTTGCATGCCGGCTGCACTAAGTCACTAATTATATTATATGTTAGTGAGGCCGCTGTGACTGCGCATGGTGGGGACAAGTGAATTTGGCGAAACCCTTCATGCACTGCACAGGCTTGTGGGCATCATCCGCACCACTCCACCGTCCCCATTGGCCCCTCCCATGCGGGCCCCATGTCCAGGGTGGAGACCAAAAGGCACTGACCATCATTGGAGACCGAAATGCTGCCGATGGGCTGCAGCAACTGGTCCTTCACAAGCCGCTTCCAAGCAAAGAAGCACTCAGGGGTACCACAATCAAACCTTGGTGTGTACTACAGTCAAGGCCCTTGTCCTCCTCACCGACAAGTACCCGTCAATTGATAGGTGGGGGGAACACTTGCTTCCAAAGACCAACTTCAAGGTACCCCCCAGAGGGCTACCTCTCGTGACCAAGAGCCACAAATCAACCGATGCTGCCGAGGCAGTCCGTGACCAGCTGACCCTGGCGAACATCATAGCTACGTAGGCCGCCATCTGCACTGCCCGTCATGATCTCCTTGCACAGCTTCAGAATGGGACTGCAAGCTGACAAGGATCAAGTTAAAGGAATGAAGGGCTGGCAAGTGTTTGTCAAAGTCCCCCACGTCGCTACGTGCGGGCATAGGTTCACCTGGTTTTATAGATCAGTCCAGGCACATCACGGTGCGTCATCAAGCAAAGAACGGAGTCGGCAGCACCAGTCAAGACCTGGATCGGCTTGTTGCTGCGTGCTCGCAGGTCCCAAATGCGCACAGTCTTGTCGTGGGAAGCACTCAACAACACCTCCTCCTGATAGGGGCGCTGCACGCAACAATGTTGGCCAAGAAACAAAGCGAGGCTAAAGTGTGAAAAATCCTGAAGTTTGCAGGACACGTTCCAAGCGAAAACGCAGACCGTCTTTTCAAGTTATACTATGTTCTATTGTCACATTCACACAACAAAAACGCTCCAACGGAGCTACTTGCCAGGTGCTACTTGCCAGGTACTGTGTGTCCTTCGGGCCAAACGCTAGGGCGTTCACCTTTCGGTCGTGCCCAGAAAATTTCCGGACCACCTGATGTCGAAGAGTTAGACATTACAAAATGAAATTGGTCTAGAAAAACCAATGGGCATTCCAACGCACAAGAAACCTTGTCAAATCTTTAAAGCCAACCTTAAAGACTTTCAGCTCTTCAACATATCTTGCACACAGCCACAGTGTCTTCTACATGCGGGTCGGACCTGGCCAGAGGTCACATCCCATTGGAATATAAGTTTGTCAGAACCGCATGATACGAACTTGCTGTTGTCTGCTGCGATCCTCATCTGGATGCAAGTCCCACAAAATATCACATATAATGCTCAGTATCCTCCAGCCGGAGTTGAGTGTCACACAGGACCCTCTAAAGAACGAAAAGTTCACGTCTGAAATATGTGCCCAGGGTCAAGACATCGTTTACCTCCTGGTTGTGGCAGCCAGCAAACTTCTTGATGTGCTTGCCACCATGCGGATTCCAAAGTCTCACAGACTTGTCCTGGTGTCTTTGCATACGCTCGGGGCAGTGGAATTTGGTCCATGGCACTTTGAGACACATGGCGGTCCTGTGAGGCTGTCATGATGTACTGACCGTTTTTGGTCCATGACCTCAAGGTATCACACCCTCTCATGTCTAGGAAGAACCCGGACCCTGGAGCAACGTTTACAAGCGTGGCAGTAGCAGCTCCAAAATGCACCAAAGGCATACCAAAAAATACTGTAATTGCCGATATCATCGCAGTTTGCGAGGGCATCACTCCTATCCCAAACCCTCTCTTCCCAAAACAGCGCTCACGGCTTTTGGCGACAACTCCAAGGGGTGGTGCCAGGCTGGGAGCACCTCAGACCTGGCACCAACCCTGGTCCCCTAAACAACCATCCATTGGGATGGTGCAGTAGACTCCTAAGGCTTCGCATTGCTTCGCGCATTTCACCACAGCTCCCATCTGGGGCGGGCGGGCAGGGTGCAAGCAAAGTTGCGGCTCCTGAGCAATCAACCTGTTCAGACGAAAGAGACCACCTGAACTCCAGGAACAACATGTTCAACTGGAAGGGGATTGGGGTGTGGAGTGATTCCCTTATGCAAAGTATCCCTGCAACGTTCCCGGGCTGGACATTTCAAGCTCCAGCCACAATTTTTGAGCAAACAATTCTGACAAACCAAGCTAAAAGTATGCAAAATGATCAACAAAAACACATGTTCTTCGTATATAAAACATTTGAGGGTTGTTGCCTAGCGCACTTACCCGCGCAACGTCCCCAAATAAGAATTGCAAGTGCAAAGTAAGTATGCTCCTTGAGTTCTGCAAGCCCCCTCTCGTTGCAACCAGAATGCAAGGCTAAAACTGCCCCTTCGTGGCCCTCCAGAATCTGCGCTGGCTCTGGGCCAGGAAGCTTGAAACCAGCCATGAAGCGTCCTTGCCTTGTGAATATGCATCCTTTTATCTACAGTATTCAGTGACTTCTCTTTTGCAATTTGGGTCTAGGCTGACTATCTGAGCTCACAACCCTAGCTGCCCTAGCCGCCCTGGCCCTTCTTGTCAACTGTACGGGCTGCACAACTTTTCGACAATTGTAATGTGAGCTCCGCATGCAGCGGGCATATTCTTACTGCAGGTGCTTTTGAGCCCACGCCGCGTTATTTGATTTTGCGAGGTTTTTCAGCAGGATAGATAAAGGCAAACA